CACACGCGTTGTCATGTTCATGGGAAGGTTTGCAAGGTGATCATTGATGGTGGAAGTTGTGCTAATGTTGCTAGCACTGAATTGGCAAATAAGCTTGGCTTGCAAACTAGATCACACCCTACCCCGTATTCTTTGCAATGGTTAAACAAAACTGGGGAGATTAAAGTGGACAAGCAAGTGATGGTGCCCATGTCTATTGGAAAATATGAAGATAGCATTTTGTGTGATGTGGTGCCTATGCAAGCTGCTCATGTGTTGTTGGGGCGTCCCTGGCAGTTTGACAAGAAGACAACTCACGAAGGACACACCAACGGATATTCTTTCTTTCATAATGGTAGAAAAATTGTACTTGTACCTTTATCTCCAAAACAGATTTTTGAGGATGAAAAGAAAGAGAGAGAAAAAGAAAAAAGAATGGAAAAGAAAGAATGAGTGAAATAGAAAAATTGAGTGAAAAGGAATTGAGTGGAAAACAAGGAGAGATAAAAGAAATGAGTGCACAAAAAAGAGAGGAGCAAAAGAAGAAACAAAATTTCTTTTGTACTGGAAAAACCGTGGAAAAAGTTTTGAGAGAGGGGAGACCTATTTACTTGATACTTTTTAAAGAGGCTAACCTTGAAAATACTAGCCTTGAACATATGCCCAAGGAAATATCTTCTCTTTTGCAGGAATTTGGTGATGTTTTTCCAAAGTAACTTCCTAAGGGATTGCCCCCTTTGAGAGGAATCGAGCACCATATTGATTTGGTACCCGGGGCACCAATTCCAAACCGTCCAGCCTATAGATGTAGTCCTGAGGAGACTAAGGAGATTCAAAGGCAAGTGGAGGAACTTTTAGCTAAGGGGCAAATTCGAGAAAGCCTTAGTCCATGTGCAGTGCCCGTGCTACTAGTGCCAAAGAAGGATGGAACATGGAGGATGTGTGTTGATTGTCGAGCAATCAACAAGATTACGGTGAAATATAGATTTCCCATCCCCCGTTTAGATGATATGCTTGATGAACTTTGTGGTGCTTGCGTGTTTTCTAAAGTGGACTTAAAATCTGGTTATCACCAAATTAGAATCCGTGAGGGTGATGAATGGAAGACAGCATTCAAGACCAAACAAGGTCTATATGAATGGCTTGTCATGCCATTTGGACTCACAAATGCTCCTAGCACTTTCATGAGGCTCATGAATCATGTGCTACGGGAGTATATTGGTGAGTTTGTGGTGGTTTACTTTGATGATATTCTTATTTACAGCCATGATTTGAATGAACATGTCACACACTTGCACAAAATATTCACCATTTTAAGGAAGCATAAACTATATGCCAACCTTGAAAAGTGTGAATTTTGTACATCTTCAATTCACTTTCTTGGCTATATTGTGAGTGCAAATGGAATTGAGGTTGATGGAGCTAAAGTTAAGGCTATCCTTGAATGGCCAACACCGAGGACAGTTAGTGAGGTACGAAGCTTTCACGGCCTAGCTAGTTTCTATCGTCGTTTTGTGAAAGACTTTAGTACTATTGCTGCTCCACTAACTGAGGTGATAAAAAAGAATGTTGGGTTTATTTGGGGAGAGAGGCAAGATGAAGCTTTTAAAATTTTAAAAGAAAAATTGAGTTCTTCTCCTATTCTTGCTCTTCCAAATTTTGAAGCAGCCTTTGAGATTGATTGTGATGCTTCCGGAGTTGGTATTGGGGCCGTCCTCATGCAAGGTGGCAAACCAATTGCCTATTTTAGTGAAAAACTAAATGGGGCAAGCCTAAATTATCCAACTTATGATAAGGAGTTCCTTGCTCTAGTTAGAGCATTGGAACATTGGGAGCACTATTTGAAACCTAAAGAGTTTGTCATTCATACTGACCATGAGTCTTTGAAATATTTGCGAGGTCAAGGCAAACTCAATAGGCGCCATGCTAAGTGGGTTGAATATATTGAATCTTTTCCTTATGTGATCCAATATAAGCATGGTAGGGATAATGTGGTTGCTGATGCACTTTCCCGTAGATACTCCTTACTTACCTCTTTGCATACACGATTTATGGGTTTTGAGCATATTAAAGACTTGTATGCAAATGATCATTACTTTGCCAATATCTTTCATGCATGCAAAAATAGTTCTCATGACAAATTCTATGTGCATGAAGGGTTTTTGTTTAAGGCTGATAGACTATGCATTCCTATGTGCTCTTTAAGGGAATTGCTAGTCAAGGAAGCCCATGGAGGAGGCCTTATGGGGCATTATGGGATCCATAAGACTTATGATGTCTTATGTGAACATTTTTATTGGCCTAAAATGAAACGAGACGTTCATAGGGTTTGTTCTAGATGCATAGTGTGTAGGCAAGCTAAGTCTAAAAGCATGCCTCATGGACTTTATCAACCCTTACCTGTGGCTGAACATCCTTGGATTGATATCTCAATGGATTTTGTCCTTGGGCTGCCTAGAACACAAAAGGGACATGATTCTATATATGTTGTGGTGGACCGCTTTTCAAAAATGGCACACTTTGTTCCTTGCCATAAAACTGATGATGCTAAATATGTGGCTGATATTTTCTTTAGAGAAATTGTGCGTTTGCATGGCATGCCTAAGTCAATTGTTTCAGATCGTGATGTGAAGTTTCTTAGCTACTTTTGGAAAACCCTATGGGGAAAACTAGGAACTAAACTCTTATTTTCTACTACTAGTCACCCTCAAACTGATGGGCAAACTGAAGTAGTAAATAGGACTTTAGGAACCTTACTAAGGGTTTTAGTTAAGAAAAATTTAAAGACTTGGGAAAATTGCTTGCCATTTGCTGAATTTGCTTACAATCGCCATGTTAATAGCACCACTGGGTTATCTCCTTTTGAAATTGTTTATGGATTTCAACCACTAACCCCATTGGATTTAATTCCTTTGCCTATTAAGGAAGTGTTGAATACAGATGGAGCAAAGAGGGCGGAGGCAGTCAAGACAACCCATGAAAAAGTGACACGCCAAATTGCAAGGAAAAATGAGCAAATTGCAAAGTTTGTCAATAAGGGGCGTAAACCAATGATCTTTAAACCTGGAGATTGGGTTTGGGTGCATTTGAGAAAAGAACGTTTTCCTGCCCAAAGGAAGTCTAAGTTGCTGCCTAGGGGAGATGGACCATTCCAAGTGCTTTCAAGAGTGAATGACAATGCATATGTCCTAGAGTTACCCGGTGAGTATAATGTGAGCACAACATTCAACGTAGCTGATTTGTCTCCCTTTGATGTTGGTGATGAAGATTCGTGGGCGAATCCTTTTGAAGAGGGGAGAAATGTTGTGGACAACCAAAGGCTTGGAGACCCACTTCAAATAAGAGAAGGTCCAATTACTCGTTCAAGAGCCAAAAACTTGCAAGAGGCCATGAATGGACTGATCCATACACTTTGGCAAGAAGATGGCACCAAGATACTTGATGGACTTAACATGGAAGATACCAAGTGGGTCAATATCTTAACCTTGCATTTGGAGGCCTTAGAAGCTGCCATTTAAATACCAACAAAGAATCAAGGCCCAACTAGAATTTGAAGACCAAATTGTTGAAGAAATGTGCCAAGCTGGTTGTGCTGAATTGAAACAATAAGTTGGGCATAAAATAAGTGGGGAAATCCTTTAAGAGTGGTCCAATTTCGTGGCTTAAGCTTAGGAGAAGACAAAAGGAGCTAAACTCAAGTCACATGGAAGAATTAAGTGTCATTTACTTCAAAATTCAATAGTAGTAATTTCTGAATTTAAGTATTTTTATGTTACAAGCTAAGGAGTAAATGCATCTTCTTTGAACGTGTATAGCCCTTTTTAAAGGGCTAAAGAACTCATTTTTGGGTAGATTATTGAAGTTGAATTCATTTGGATATGTGCTTTGCACTTCCATTTCCTTTCTAGCATTCTAGGAAGAATTTCTGACTTATCAAGGATATTACCCTCCTTGTGGCGTCTCAATTGGCCTTATCACCCTTCAACCCGGTGTGGCGGCTTCCCAATTCATCCATACACGTCCTCAACCATTTCCCATACCCCACATCAACCACAATCCACAAAAACAACCCCTACACTTCAAAATCAGTACACAGAAATTGAGAAAGCGGATCGTGACTTGAGCTGTGGAGTTCTAGGCCTTTAAATCCAATATCAAGCCGGTGGAATCCACATCAGATAGTTCGACGGTATTGTTTGGCGGCAGTTTGGCCGGGGACGACGGTCCCAGGCAGAATAAGGTTGGACTCAGAAGTACAGGGTGGCACACGGAGGTACAGGTTGGAACTGAGATAAGGCCGGGGGTAGCCATAAGGGTGGAACAGGGCATAAAGTTGGAACTTGATATTTGTCATTATGTGATTTATTGTATTCATTGCTTATGAGCATGACTATCGGGAACTCTACCTTGATTATGGTAGGTTGCGTCTATTGTTGAGTATGTTGCTTGTTGTCCTTATTGACTTGTTGATTGTTGTTGATGGTTGGTCTTTGTTGAGAGTGTTCTGTTGAGTCTCTTGATGTTCCCCCTCTTGGTTTTAAATGATATATACTGTATTCCTCTGTCTCAAATGGTTTTATAATATCTAGATTTTATGTACTTAACGCGTATTGGTGGGTTACCAGCATCTTTCGCTGACGGGTGTTATCCCTATGTTTTTACAGGTTATGAGTAGCTTTGGAGAGCGCGCTAGTGGATCGTTAGATAGCGTAGTTCTTCGTGTTTTCCCTTTGTTTAGACTTAGGGCCTGTGTGCCTTATTTCCTATGACCTTGTTGTTGACTTTTGGTTTAGATTTAGCATGTGCACCTATGTTGAGATAGGTGTGGCATAGCACCTCCGTATTTAGTCTTTGCTTCCGCTTTACCGTAATGGATAATTAGTTTGCTTTTCCTTTAATTTAAGCTTTTAAATTTTAGTAAAATCGGGGGTGTTACAATTATGTTTTCAAATCTCTCCATATTTCTTTTTTTGAGACTTATTTCCAAGAAACAGCTAACTAAGTTCTCATGTACAAAGGTAGGTTCTTGGACCCAATCATATATGGGAGATATCATGAAAGACATTTTGGGATCGCTTTTACCAGAATTCTCATCAGAAGACTTGGAAAAGCTAAAAACAGGATTGAATTTTATCGCAATCAACCTCTACACCAGTTTCTATGTGCAGGATTGCATGTATTCTGCTTGTGGACCTGTAGATGGTAACACCAGAATAGAAGGTTTCATTGGAAAAAGTTCAATCAAGAATGGAATTCCTATTAGGGAATCTGTAAGTACTGCGATCCTAATTGCTCTCTGCATTACTTTTTTATGGTTGCTTTTCGTCAACTTTGGAACTGCCTCCTTTATATTTGGTTAGCATTTGGCTTATTCTACGCACGGGGATTCTTTGTATCTGACTTAGGCTTTGAACATTTTATGGAAGAATATTTTAATCGTGGTTGCAGCTGATGCCATATTGCTTGAGTTTCAGCACTACATTGCTCATCCCCACCACTCTGGTTCCTCAAATGGGAGGAGGAAAGGTGAGGTTTGGATTTTATTTTTTTTTAAAAAAAAAAAAGAAAAAAGAAACGATTATTGTTGTAATGGTTAAGAGGATGGGTTTCCCAATTATTCTGGTGTTTCATCTGCCTGATTTCGGTGTTCTGATTTATTTTCCACTTATGTATAGAATTTCAGAATGCATTTGGAAGCAAAGGGAATTATGTATATTCCAATTTCAACACCACATGTTCTTTCTCCTTTACAACACCATGGTTGCATAATCTATCCTGCTATCCTAATCTCCTTATTCTATCTTTAACTAATACTTCTATTTTTTATTTGAAAACTATCACTTGATTATGACTTTACTGAGAAAATGATTTTCTTGATTTTCTTTTACCAGGTTCTGCAGAAGAATCATTATGGATCTCTTCACAAAAATAAACTTACAAGAAAAAATAGACATGAATGTATTTCAATTATTGAGGATGGCTCTAGCATGCTAGTGAAAGAGGCCTCATCATAAATCCTTGGAGTACACTCTTATGACTAGCCCCACTCTTTGATGCCCCTACAGTTTTAAAACCACCAGAGGTATCGGCGAGAGTAGGATGAACATCACCACCGCCACCACCACCAGGCCCCAACCGCCCCCATCTCTATCTTTATCTCTCTTATATCTCTTGCTGCCGTACCGCACTTCTCTTACTTCAATTTGTTGCTCTCGAGCTTGGCTACTGCATGGATTAGAATTCAAATTTGATTCATTAGTTGTAACAGAAGCGATTACAAAGCATTAAAAGATAATTAACGAACTATAGGCCCGGATGCCCACGGTGATGCATCTTGCGGTGTAGACGGGGCGGGTATTTCCGTAGCAAACGGGAATACTGTCTCGTCGAACCGGACATGACGACAGATATAAACTTTCCCAGACGACCGATCCATGCATCTATATCCCCTAAAGGATGGGGGGTAACCTAAGAAGACACAGGGTGCCGAGCGGTATTCTATCTTGTGGCGATTATAAGGCCGTAGATAAGGATAACACCGGCACCCAAATATTCGAAGAAACGTGTATGAAGGAGACACTTTGTATAGACGCGAGTAGGGACTTTCAAAGTTTAACACCGGAGTTGGGAGATAGTTAATGAGACATGTTGCAGTCTCGAAGGCAAAATCCCAATATTCCATCGGTACCGATCCTTCGGCGAGTAAAGCAAGACCCGTTTCGACGGTGTGTCTGTTACGGCGCTCTACTCGTCCATTTTGCTCATGTGTGTAAGCACATGATTGTCGGTGATTAATACCTAGGGTTTGAAACATTTTGTGTAGTTTTTGATACTCACCCCTAGATCGGATTGTATATTTTTGATAGAGCGCGAGAATTGTCGCTCTACCAGCACACGAAACAACTCAAAACTTTTATAAATGTCTGATTTTACCCGTAACGCATAAAACCAGCAGAACCGGGAGTAATCGTCTACAAACAATAAGAAATAGCGAAAACCAGTACTAGAGACTACTGGAGCCGGGCCCATACATCAGTAAAGATCAAATCTAAGACATTTGTACTGGAATTATAAACCCTATCTAATTTAAAACGCGACGCCTTGCCGAGGTGACAAGCTGTGCAAGATTGGGACGACTTTTGGTTATTTGGTGACACTGGACAGTTCTTGAGAATGTGACTCTGAACGACACCGTGCGGATGACCTAGCCTGCGGTGCCAAATATCTGAAGTGGCCCGGGAACTGACGAACGCAAACTGAGTACGGGAAAGTGGAAGCTTGTACAATCCCCCGGAGGTTGGCCCTTTAAGCAGAGTTGCCCTGGTTTTGGAATCCTTCACAATAAAACAGTCGTTATGAAATTCAAAGTAAACGCTGTTTTCTTTAGTGAATTTATTTACAGAAAGTAACGGGACAGGCAAACTCGGGACATGCAATACATTAGACAAATTTAGGGGTTTTGACACGGACGGGATCGATGCATGACCGACGCGTGAGATAGCCAAACCTGCGCCGTTCCCGACTCGTAGGACATCGGGGCCGGTATATTCATCGGAGTGGGACATCATGGTAGCATCTGGCGTGGCGTGGGCGGTGGCGCCGGTGTCGGGGTACCACCCGTCCGGTGAGGCTGCCGACGGTGTCATAGGGAGCTCGCCGGTGGCAGTGGCGACATGTGCTTCCGCCGGGGGTTGCGTCGTATATCGCTTAAAGCAATAAACCGCCGTGTGTCCTTGAGCGCGACAAATTTGACATCTCGGAGGACCGCGGCTATTCCGACCGCCTCTGCCCCGTCCATTGCGGCCGTTACTATTCCGGCCTCCTCTCCAGTGCTGCCCACTGCCGGACTGCCGACCACCGTCGTTGTTGGAGCCCCGTCCTCGGCCAGCGTACATCACCGTATGCTGCCCGCCATTGTCGCCAACGGAGTATTCATCGGAGATTATGAACTCCTGGGCACTCAGGAAATCTGCGAGCTGCGGCAGAGACACCGTGTTGGTGGTAGCGGTTAAGGATGCCGCCATGACGCGCAGATCCTGTCTCAGGCCTCTCAGAACGTACAGCATCTGCTCCGATGAAGAAAGGGGACGACCAGTTGAGCTAACGCCTCCACGAGCACCTCTGCCCGCCCCAAGTACTCGGCGGTGGAGAGATTCCCTTGCCTTAGCGACTGGAATTGGCCGAGTAGACTAAGGCACCTTGCTTGCGTGGAGGAGCCGAGCGCCGTGACGATGGACGACCACACCTCGGCTGCAGTTTCCCGTCCGACGGCCAAGTGTAACACCTCGTCGGACATGGACGAAATAAGCATCGATAAAATCGATTGGTCTTGGAGCACCCAAGCCTTATGCGCTGGGTTCGGAACCATCCCTGTCGCCGGCGTTGTGCCTGAGCCGGAATCCGAGGCTGCTGCGACTGTCGCCGGTGGATATGGCGTTGAACCATCCACATACCCCAGCAGGTCCTGCCCCCTCAAGAAAGGGACCAACTGAGTCTTCCAGAAGAGGAAGTTGCGGCTATTAAGTTTCATGGAAACATGGTGATGGGCGCCAGCCAATGGATTGGCGGTCGCCGGTGAGGGAGAGCCGCCGGCGGAGACGGTGCGTTTCGATGACTGCGACATGGCTTCGACGTTTTGTTTTCCAGTGGAGATTGTTTAGGTAAGGTAGAGAGAAACAAGGTGATCGTAACCTATCTACTGATACCAGATTAGAATTCAAATTTGATTCATTAGTTGTAACAGAAACGATTACAAAGCATTAAAAGATAATTAACGAAAGACTCTCCTGTCTAATAGAGAATCCTAAGTCAATTAAACCTGAGCCACATAATATAACTATATACTATAGAAAATAATAACACTCACTAACAGCATGGAGGTCACATGTTGAACCCGGTCTCGCAAAAGAAATGTCACATGTGTCGTTACCTTCTTCCAAAATGGAAGAAGCAACGTTTACCGTTGCCTTCTTTCGGATTAGAAGAAGGCAAAGTTTGTTGTTGCCTTCTTCCAGAACGGAAGAGGCAACGTTTGCGGTTGCCTTCATCCAGAACGGAAGAGGCAACATTTGCGGTTGCCTTCTTCCGGGAGAAGGCAACGACAAACGTGGCCTCCTTCCGGAACTTTAGATTTTTTTTTTTTTTTTTTTTAAATAGCCATTGGAGGTTGAAGGCAATTGTTTTATATTTATGGAACCGTGGGTAGAGTCGGGGGTAGGGGAGGGATTCTCATCGGTGGCCATAGGATCGAAACTGTGCTCTGATACCAAATTGATGAATAGAACTGTACGTTCGTATATCTATTTTGCAGAGGAATACATAGGCCTATTTATACACAGAAGACTAACAGATAAATAGGCAACAGCTACATAAAAGGCTCTAACATACTCTGTATTATCTAACTGACTAACATTTTTAAATAATATAAATTTCTTGGTTTATGTAAATCAATTGTTTTATATTTTGTTATTTCATTTTGTAAATTTTATGCAATAATGTAATCTCTTTATTTAATCAATAATTATTTTTTTTGAACAAGAGCATAGTATGTGAAAAATAAAAATAATTACTATTATTTTATACTCTATAGTTGGAAAAATTGTTTTTCATTAACGGAACTTTAAATTTCAGTCGAGTTGTGCGCAATGTTAAAGAGTTCTAGACATGTTATGTAATATCATTTTTATGTAATATATTATTTTAATAACATATTATAATAATTAAACTTTTATAATTATCAATTAACTTAAATCTTGACATGTTAAATTTAAACTTGTAAAGTTAATTAAATCATCAATGAATACGCATAAAAGCTTAGTTATTTTTGCCCATTACATTTTCAGACATAATTTTTTGTATTTTGTGCACTGATGGTTGTTCCTTGAAACTTTTTTTTTTTTGTCTATTTTGGCCTTCTTGACTGAAATTTGATGCATACTTTTGCTCATATCATAATACACTGATGAAGGTGCTGTTTTATACGAAGTAGATGTGGGATGATGATAAAATATGGAGAATATGGAAAATCCTCATACTAAATAGAAAAGCACGGAAGTAATGTTATTTGAGAAAAAAACTTGATTACTGCCTTTTAAGTTAAAAATAGTAACTGAGCTTAAGTCCTTACTAGGCTGTATGGTTAAGGGGATTATGAAACACTACACTAACCAAATACTCATGAATTTGATCCTCATCAAGTTAAAAATAGTGATTGAGCTTAAGTCCTTACAAGTAGATGTAATTGATCCTCATCAAGTTAAAAATAGTGACCGAGCTTAAGTCCTTACAAGCAAATTCATAAGTACTTAATTGATTATGGTAATTATTTTAATAAAAGAAAATAATTATCATTATACTATATTAAGATTATTATAATTTGCATAAAACGGTTCAGTAAAAGTTGACTTTACAATTTAATGAGGTGGCGTGTTCTTGTTCACCGCCGTTGTATAGCACTTATACAACGTCGGCAGTGCATCAAATCTTTTATGATATAAAGTAGATTTCGGCAAGACTAAAAGTCACAAAGTTTTTGGGTTAGGTGGCTTGGTATGACTTTTTACTATTGTGCATTGTTGCTTCTGAGGCTGCCATACTGTACTCTATAGACTTCACCATTTCATTTGTACTTCTTGCAATT